TGAGTTTAAATAATATCTTTCGAAAGACGTACTTCCACTTCCGAAAAAAGTATTTTTTGATAGTTGAAGAGATCAACCAGAAATTTGTTTTATTCTTTTAAATGTGGATTTTAGTCAAAACCCCTTCTAGCTACGGCATTCACTTTTCTAGAAAGGTCAACACAGTAGGCATTTTTTCACTGAAACTGTGATAAAAAAGTGATATCATATTTTACCAAATTTTTTCTATCAAGTACTAAAGTTTTTGAACTTCTCCTACTTGGTCTTACCAGGTCATCTAGGAATATGAAACAATCACGTTTGATTCGAGTTGGTCAGTAATAGTACGGCTTTTGTACACCTTTTAACGCACAACTGTGATCAGACCAAATCTTCTTCTTTCTCAAAACTAGAGCCGTCATAGGTACTATCTTTGAGAGATGTCAAAATACTAAACTGTTTTAAAAAACGAAAAAAGCAGACGAAATAAAGTATTTTTAGTTTTATAAAGTTCTTTTCAGAGCATACCTGTACGTTAATTGGCGCAAACCGCTTGAGTCTTCATATACATTACACTATAAACTCTCAATACTGATTACGCTATAAACCAAAACCCACAAATTTTTTATATGTCTGATAGCTCCATTTGCTCATTAGAAGCTTTTAAACTAAACTATCTCTTTTAAGATAATTTTTCATCATTTACTATTTATAACGCGTTTCAAGTTTTGAACAAAGTTAAGAAATAAATGACATAAAAACTATAGCAATTTTAGTTCTGCCTTAGGCGAAATAAGTTGCTTTGTTAGGAGAGTAATTGACCCAGCAGCAAAACTTACCGATGTCCGTTATAAACAGCATTGCTGTTGAACTCCTACCCGCTTTTTTGTTTTAGCAGCCTCGCACATATTAGGAAAAAGCTTTTTAGAGGCCCCTTGCTTGACTACTGCTACGCAGCCTGGAATGGCAGACATCAAATTTGAAAACTTGAGAACTATAATAACAAAAATTGTTCTATGCGCTGAGAAAACATCCAAAGAGCGTAAAATGCACAGAAAGTCTGATTTGACGGTGGTGGAACCTAATCGACATGTTGAACTTTGTGGATGTACAGCAATACCACTGTGATAAAGCAGAATTATAAGTTAATAATGTGAAAAAATCAAGAATGAATTCAATATGATGCATCTGAAAATATTTGATGTTAACCTTCAAATTGCTTTCTCTTTTAAAACTTGCTTTTGAAAAGACTGGATTGCGCAGTCTTACCAGTCAAACTGTCTTTTCTGTAGACGGCCACAGGCCTCAAGAGGGTACTGTGCAG